AAAAATAAACTTCAAACTTAAATATAGGACTGCAATGGTGTTAATCACGAATAGCATTTGGTTTCACATTTAAAAATAAAAAATAAAAAAGAGAGCCTAAACAGTTAAGATTACTTGTCTACCAGTTAAATTAGCTCACATATGGTTTGCCAACACCAATAATTAGAAAAGTGACTTGTACAATGTCAAGCCACAAGAAACAATCAAATTCTTCTTACATAAAACCATGAAGATTATAGTAACATCACTTCAATATCACTTACAATATATCAAACACATCCAACTTATGAAGCTACCAAGCCCATAGAACAACTGGGACAACATAGACTCAACCAAAAAAAAATTTTTTTTTTTTTAAAAAAAAAAGAACACAAATCAAATGGTTCAAGTTTGAAATACCTTGGCATAAGCCTCATCTCCAAATTTTTGCCTAAATGACAACAGATCCGGCAACGCCCAATAGGGAAACTTTGTCCCATCATGTGTCACCACCGAGTCAACCGCATATCTCGTATCCTTGGTTGACTTTATTATTGCAACATTTCTACATTTACATGGTTGGCCCCAAAATAATAGTTAAAATAAAATAAAATTCTTTATGCATCCAACATAAACTTAACACATTGTTATCATGTACAATTAATTAACATTCAGAATTTCTTAACTACATAACACCATAAAAGTGTTGAGAATAAATTGCACAAATTAAATTACAAATCAGAACCCCCAACTTTACAAATCAGAACCCTCAAATTCACGAAATTAACAAAGTCAACAAAGTACCTGCCATTGTTGCCCTCAGATTCGACTCGACGAAGGAGAGCTGTTGTTTTTTCAGCGAACATTGGCCCAACAATGACGTGAATCTCACCGGAAGGGTGGTGAGACAGACCCATCCGATCGCTGCTGCTGCCGTCAACTGATGAAGCCAATGAAAGTGGGGATTTGAAGGAAGACATTGGAGGGACTTAGAGAGAGGGAAGTAGGGTTTGATTGAGATGAGGATACCGATATCTTTCTTGTTGGTTGCGTCGACCGATCTACCTTACATTTGATCACCACTTTACAAATCAACACTTCACAAATCAGAGTGCACAATTGGAAACAAAACAGCCAACAGAGCAAGAAGAACAATGTAGGTTTATTTTGGGCAAAAGAGATTACCCAAAAGCAAAAGAAGCTGCTTGATTAGCAAGCCAATCATTTACCCCAATCACAGAAGCCGTTTGATTAGCAAGCCAGAAAATTAGATTGAGAGACACAGTTAGCAGAATTACTATGTATAGACACAAATAATATGCCAAAAAACTATGAAATTATTAAATATGGGCATCAACTAATACACATTCTTGGTATATGAAATTATTTCTATTTCCTTGATCAATCAAAGACAGCTACAAATACAATAGAGTTTAGTGTCTCTACTGATTCCTTAAAAGAAGAAATACAGTTGCAGAAGTTCTGAACATCCAAATTGGGCAGTATGTTTTTTCCCCAATTGTGAAATATGTTACATGTGTTTTACTATGTTCAGATTTAAAGTTCTAACTTTGATATTGAACGATTTGAAAATCCTATAATGTTCAATTTCAAGTCAGCTTTAAAATCTGCACCAAATACAGTAAATCAAGCTCCCAAATAAACAGGTTATAAACCCAGATAAACCCAAATAAACCCAAATAAACAATGGATATAAACCCAAATAAACAATCAAACCCAACCTCAGGAAAGAAATCATTTACCCCAATTGCAGAAGTTGTTTGATAAACAGGTTATAAACCCAGATAAACCCAAATAAACCCAAATAAACAATGGATATAAACCCAAATAAACAATCAAACCCAACCTCAGGAAAGAAATCATTTACCCCAATTGCAGAAGTTGTTTGATAAACAGGTTATAAACCCAGATAAACCCAAATAAACAATCAAACCCAACCTCAGATTATAAAGACGACAGGAAGAGGCAGAAATCTTACCTTGGGAGCAGAGACTGAAGAGCAGGAGCGTCGGGAAAGAGAGAGGGTATGAAAGAAGAAGAGAGGGAGAGAGAGAGAGAGAGAGAGAGATAAAAAGGGAATGAGACGTGGGTGAGAGGGAGAGGGTGATAAAGACAGAAGGAGAGGAGACGTGGGTGGGTGGAGGTTTAATGTTTGGGCGGGAGCTACATAAATCTGAGTTGTTGATATATTCTCAGGATTAATATAGACCATTGATCTAAAATGTATCTCACATACATTTTATATATTTTTTAAAACCGTTCTGTTTTATTATATAGATATATATATATATATCTATTATTGTAGATTAATCTATCATTGCAAAACATTTACAAATGATAATATTAAATTTTAAAAAAAAATCGTAAACTAAAAGCAAATTGAACAATTTAATTCCCAATGGAAGCCAAGCAACATATTAAAGAAGTAGGATACCTTTAATGGTTTAGCCAATTTTCTATGAACAACTGCTGATTAAAAAAAAAAATCAAATAGAGAGAGGAGCACTAAAGATTTAGCCAATTTTCTTATTTGTATAATCAATTTTACTTCCCAAAATTACTATATGTGAGAGAGATATTTCATTTTAAAAATATTTAAAATAAGACCTACCAAATACCCATGACCTTCTTAAGACTCAGCACACAGATTGCAAAGATCTATGTGTAAAATCAAATAGAGAGAGGAGCACTAAAGATCTTTGCAATTTTCTTATTTTTATAAATTGTCACTGAAACTTATAAAAGATCATGCTTAATAGTTCAAATAATTAATTTTTTGTCATGATTTTTATAAATTATCGCTGAAACTTACAATTAGTGACCTTTTTTTATGATAAATAAATTCATTTCCTAACTAATTAGACAATAAATTCACTTATTATGGCCTACACGTAAGTACCCCTAATTTTTTATGATGACTCTTATTATCTCTAACAAATTCAATTATAGTCATATCCTAATTTTTTATTAAATAATAATACTGTCATGTGATAGATACCACAATTATATCTAATATTTATTTCTCCCCTCCCCAACCAAAAAAAAAAATAGAAAATCTATGCTGCCCAGAAAAATGTCTAAAAAGTAGCTATGAATTTTGAATTAATGTTGTATATTAAAAAATAGTGTTATGGGACTTTTACGGATTATTTGTTCTAGAATTATAGCATTGCTGAGGAAAAATAAAAAAATAAATAAAAAGGAGACAAAAGAATCAGTTAACATGATTAAAATTTTAACATAAGCGCATGAACCTATATGATTATGTGATATGATATTCCACCTTCCTCTCATTAGAAAATATATTTTGATATGTGATCAATATTCATATATTACTCAAGCACGCATGGTAACAGTAATTAAAGTACAACCATCATGTACTACAATTTAAAAGGGCTGGTGGAAAAGGGGAAATAAAAAAATAATCACATGAGGTATAAGTAACATTTGTATTTTTACAGTCTTTCTTTTACATTCCACTAAAAACACACTTGCATCCCATATGTGGATAATTTTTTTTTCTTCTACCACCTGTATGTTGTTCCCCCAAATTAAATTAAATTAAATTAAAAAAAGAAGAAGAAACAACTTCTTTTATTTTATGATAAATTAGTAGGTGACCCGTGTAATGTAAGAAAATTTATTTTTAAAATAAAAAATTAATTTTGACCCTTAATACTTTATGTGTAGACAATTTTAACAATTGAAAGTCAAATAAAACTAAATTTGCTAACAGCTTATGGGAATTTTTGTTACTGCATATGATCCTGTGTAAAATAGGCTCATAAAAATAATTTCTTTTAAAGTTTTTTAAAAAATAAACGTGTATTTTCAACCCGAAATCAAATCCTCATTTGTGTTAATAAAATTTACCAAAATCATGAATTCCACTTGACTACAAATCAAATTCTCATTTTCTTATTTGTATAATCAATTTTACTTCCCAAAATTACTATATGTGAGAGAAAGATTTCATATTTAAAAAACATAAAAGATTTCATATCATAAACTGAGAAAGATTAATAATATTCTTTGGTTTTTCTTTTATATTATTAGATTTCATATTATAATGAATACATTATAATATACTTCCCAAAATTACTATGTGCCTGTTTGGCAGAACTTAAAAGCATCTTATTTCAGCTTTCAGCTTAATTTAAACTATTTTGATGTGTTTGGTTTAACTTATAGCTTATACCTTATAGCTTTTTAGAAGTCAGAAATCAGTTTATTCTTTGAGTGGGGCAGGAGATGCTTAATTTATAAGTCAGAAATCAGCTTATGTTCATAGTTATAAGCTATAAGCTGTTTAGGCATAAGCTATAAGCACTTTCCCACAGCTCTACCAAACAGGGCTTTTATGTGAGAGAAAGATTTCATTATGAATACATTATAATTCAAGATTCAGAATTCAAGAGTGGGAGTTCGAAGGGAGCCGAAGACAGCAGAATTTAACTATCACCTAAATTCTGAATTCAAGCTACAAACATATATAATTTTAACAAATTTCGGTTAGTAGTATGTATAATTTTAGAGGAAGAAGACGTATAGCTATCAGTGAGAAGAAGTATAGCTATCTATCTGCTAGTGTAATCAATCAATCTAGAATTTTCTATCCAGCCGAAGGGAGCAAAATTAATTAGGTGAATTTAGGGCCAAAATTCAGGATTCAAAATTAAAAATATTCAAAGTTCAAAATTCAAAAACAGAAAAACACAACAGCGTCTTACCTTGCGAGTGGGAGTTTGAAGGGAGCCGAAGACAGCCAAAAACAAATAGAACCTTGAGCCAAAAACAAACCCAGTAAAATGAGATCATATACAGAATGTAGAGGAATAAAGGAACACAATGGAACACAATGTATTTGACTAAAGGAATAAAGGAACACAATAATAGAGGAGATAACACATTGTATCTAACTAAAAAAAATACAACAAAGAGTAATCAAGATAATTCATAAAAGAATTATGAAATCAACAAAGAGTCAATATATGTAGATGTCAATGAAGGTGAGAATAAGGAGATAGCTTCCAAGGACTCACATGAGTATAACACATGAGTTATTGAAATTCTGTTTCCTTTATTTTAGCATAAGTTATTTTAGCACTATACAGGAAATCAAATTGCTATATATAAAAGACCATGTGTAGCATTTGATGAGTTAGTTGCTGCGAAGTGATCTATATAGCATTTGATGAGTCCTACACCAACCAGATCACTTCGCAGCTAGAGAAAGATCATGAAAGATCATTCTGAAATTTTCTGAGTTACACCGTGTGATTTGATTTCAGAATTTCATGACTACAGGAAGTCAAATTTGATTTTGTGATTTCAGAATTTGATGACTACAGAAGTCAAATTTGATTTTGTGATTTCAGAATTTGATGACTACAGAAGTCAAATTTGATTTTGTGATTTCAGAATTTGATGACTACAGAAGTCAAATTTGATTTTGTGATTTCAGAATTTGATGACTACAGAAGTCAAATTTGATTTTGTGATTTCAGAATTTGATGACTACAGAAGTCAAATTTGATTTTGTGATTTCAGAATTTGATGACTACAGAAGTCAAATTTGATTTTGTGATTTCAGAATTTGATGACTACAGAAGTCAAATTTGATTTTGTGATTTCAGAATTTGATGACTACAGAAGTCAAATTTGATTTTGTGATTTCAGAATTTGATGACTACAGAAGTCAAATTTGATTTTGTGATTTCAGAATTTGATGACTACAGAAGTCAAATTTGATTTTGTGATTTCAGAATTTGATGACTACAGAAGTCAAATTTGATTTTGTGATTTCAGAATTTGATGACTACAGAAGTCAAATTTGATTTTGTGATTTCAGAATTTGATGACTACAGAAGTCAAATTTGATTTTGTGATTTCAGAATTTGATGACTACAGAAGTCAAATTTGATTTTGTGATTTCAGAATTTGATGACTACAGAAGTCAAATTTGATTTTGTGATTTCAGAATTTGATGACTACAGAAGTCAAATTTGATTTTGTGATTTCAGAATTTGATGACTACAGAAGTCAAATTTGATTTTGTGATTTCAGAATTTGATGACTACAGAAGTCAAATTTGATTTTGTGATTTCAGAATTTGATGACTACAGAAGTCAAATTTGATTTTGTGATTTCAGAATTTGATGACTACAGAAGTCAAATTTGATTTTGTGATTTCAGAATTTGATGACTACAGAAGTCAAATTTGATTTTGTGATTTCAGAATTCATTCAAAATTGCCATGTTAATTAACATGTTTCTTCTACATTTCAATTTGATAAATCAAAAAAAAAAAAAAAAAAAAAAAAATGGGGTTCTAAATATTAATGCTAATACTACTTGTGTCTTATGTAGTGCTTAGGCTGAAGATGTGAATCACTTATTCTTGAGTTGTAAACCTGTACGATGTTTATGGTCTACAATATTAAACTTGTGAGGAGTTCAATGGGCAATGGCAAACTCAGTGGAGGGAGTTCTATAATGGTGGGCAGGGTATAGATGGAAGAAATTTGATAAAAAAATTTAGAGAGCCATTCTACTCACGGTACTTTGGTCCATATGGAAGCAAAGGAATGACTCTATGTTTAATGGATCTCATTTTGATATGGAGGACTTATCTCAACTTGTCAAAACAAGGATTGCTTTTCGGGTAAAAAACAACTCACAAGAGATGTACTATTCCATAATTGACTTCATTTCAAATTTAAACCAGGTAAGATTGTGTTTAGAAGGAAGGGGTACTGTCTGATTTTTTGAAGACACCTTTACTGTTTCTATTTGGAATCTGGATATGCTTATGGGATCAGCACTTATGGCCAGGTTGCTTCAAACAAATTGTGCGTACGATTGGTTGAGGTTTTTTATGCTTCTCTGCTATTGCTCTGCTTGATGCTACTACTGTTCAAGCTTTTATGCAGGGTCATTTTTTAAACTATGATATGCTACTGTTGTTCAAGCTTTTATGCGAGCTCATTTTGGATACAATGATCTCATTTGCAAATGGTGTGTAGATTTAGTTGTTTGATGTCAGTCCATTGTATTCAATGTTGTTGTGTTTTTTAGGTTTGTTGGTGTATATATTTAGTTGTTTCATGTGAGGTTTGTTAGTTGTCCATGTTTGTTGGTTTCTCATCTTGTAGTGTGCTAGCAAATGATTTGGCTCACTTTTCGGTGTCAACCTAGACCACACCAATTGAGAATGGTCGACCACACCAGCCACGATCGATGGCAATGCAGCAAAATGTGGGAATCCGTCTCAACCTTACATCCACCAAAAAAAAAAAAAAAAAAAAAAAAAAACAAACCAAAATAACCC